GCCAGTGCTCGGATCAAAGGTTTTTTTGGGGGGACTCCACGTTTTTTTTCCCCATTTTTTTAAATTCCTACCAGACCTATTTTTTTCCCTCTTCTGCAGACTAAAAAAAAAAAAATTTAATTTTGCTGCAACTAAATTTCGTCCAACAAACGAAATTTCGTCCAGACTACCGCTAACACATTTTGGAATCAGAAATTCGGATTCGTTTGCATTCGTTATATCTGTAATTCAGAATTCGGATACATCCAAAGTCCAAATTTACAAAATTTCGTTCGAATTTCGATTCGGAACGAAACTAATTGCACATGTCTAATACATATATAATGGGATTCCATTAGTGTATGTTGTGTCTGCTGCACAGAAATTGACTGGAGGTAACTTCAGCTGGAACCACATGAACAGTACACATTCATCCTGGATCCAAAGCCAACCACACTATGGTCATAGAGAAATGTTCCTGGTGCTGCACCTGGAACCACATTAACCACTTCTAGCGGGTTCACATAAATGTACGTCCTCCACTGGAAGTGGTTATACCAAGAACACGGCTGCTGCTGAGCTCTCCTCTGATCACTGGACCCGGAAGTGATATGCATTACATCACTTCCGGTGTCACTGGGCACAGTCTCCGGCTCCTAGAGCCAGAAGAAGAAGCTGGTGAAGCAGACCTCTGCTTCATCAGCTTCTTTGGGGTCCCTAGGGCACATTAGCGATCTGAAAGACCCCTTATGTTTTCATAAAGAGGATGTGTCACATTATATGTGCTATTACATAAGGGGCTTGTTATCCCCGTATGCAATAGCAATAAAGCTCCTCCGATCACTGGACCCGGAAGTGATGTGCATTACATCACTTCAGGTGTCACTGGGCACAGTCTCCGGCTCCTAGAGCCAGAAGAAGAAGCTGGTGAAGCAGACCTCTGCTTCATCAGCTTCTTTGGGGTCCCTAGGGGACATTAGCGGTCTGAAAGACCCCTTATGTCTTCATAAAGAGGACGTGTCACAAAAATTGCACCACACATGTTACATATCGTTGCGAGCATCGGAGAGCAATAATTCTAGGCCCATCAATCACTGTTAGAACTAAACTAATGAGACGTAAAAGCATTTAAAGAGTCACCTATGGGAAATTTTGGTTATTGTAGTTTTTCGCGGTTTCACGGACGCAAGCAATGTTAAGGCTTGACATGTTTGGTATCTATTTACCCGGCGTGACCCCATATTTTATAGTTTACAAACAAATTGGGTATTATATTCTGTTTCTGTGCACTAAATTTAATTTTAGTGTATTTTATCCTAAAAATACTGGTTTGATAAACATTTGCGCTAATACCGCGTGACATAAAAATTGCAACTACCATCTTTTTATTCTACAGGGCATCTGCTTTCAGAAAATATATCATTGTTTGGGGGTCTAGCCAAAAATTCAGATTTCATCATGTATGTGCATATGTAAGAAATTGCTCTGGGCAGCAAGTGGTTAATATGTACACATCTGACCCAACAATAACTCTACAGTTACATACCTCCCAAAGGCCCCTCATTTGGAACCAAATCCCTCTGTCCTTCTTTCCTCCTCAGTTGTCCCTCCTTTTGGTCTGATGTACAGATATCTATGAAAAGGTTCTATTTAACTGCAAAAAGTGTTATTCTGAACTGAAACCTTCATCTTTTCTCTTTATTATTTTTTCTTTTTTGTATCCAGTATAAAGGAAAGGTAATGGTGAAAAAACAAAAACAATTCTGGGTTAAACCATTTATTTTTGGCATCTGAATTCTTAATGGTTCGCATAACTGGTGGCATGGTAGTGGTGTGTCCATTGTCTAAAATACATTGTGCTGGAAGGTGTCCTTCTTTCTCATCTCATAATGTTGGGAGGTATGCAGTTAAATGTAGTTTGTACACTGGATTTTTGTTATAACTTGCAATAAAAATAGCACTTTTGCTCTTGGTAACCAGCCAAATATTTGCTTTTGTTTCATATCTAATATAAACTGATCTGAATCTTTAAAAAAATATCTGAAGAGCAGCAGATCCTATTTTGCAGACATACTGCATTCTTCCCTGTAGCATAGCTCACAGCAAGTATAAAATAGCACAATTTAGTCAATTTATGTATCTATTATCAATAAATGCATTTTAAAGGAAACCTGTGATGAG